AGCGGCAGCGGAGCTTCATCATCTTCTCAATCTAGACGAGGAGAGGATCCACGCATTGCCCAATTGCAGCGAGAATTGGAGGAGCAGCAGCGTGCATTTGAACAGCAACGAAAGAATGATGAAGAAACGAGGGCCCGGCTGGAAGCGATGGAACGGATCCTTGCTGGATATCAGCCTCCACCTCAACCTCATCCTCGGCCGTACATTATGCACGTTGAGCAGACTCCTCAGGTTCCGCACATGGGTGGTATGGGTTATCACTCTAACTCCGGTTATGGTGTCATGCCTGCAATAGGGTCTACATTTGGATCTCTGTCGCCTGATATGCTCAATCAGTTTCAGTCATCGAGAGGAGGCAGCCGAGGAAGTCACCGAGGAAGCCACCGAGGAAGCAACCTAGGAGGCAATCGAGGAGGCAACCGAGGCAGCCGAGGAAGTTCCCGACCCTTGGACCCCGTGGATGCAGAAGAGGATCATCATCGTCATCATGATGATAATGATGATGAATACGATTACGATGATTGTAATTATTATCACAATGGAGTCCGACGTACGGGCATGTAATTACATTATATTGTTTGACATTGTATTGATTTTGTTTTTATAATTCTGTCTGTAATAACATTTTTATTTTTAATAGCGTATGGAATTTATTTTTATTGTAATTGCTCTAAAATAAAATTAAAATAATTTTTTATTTTTTATAAAAAATTGTTTTTTTTTAAAATCAAAAACATTAGTCACGGACTTAATCCGTGACTACTTTTTAATCCGGAATAAATTCAATTTTCATTTTTTTTTATTTTTTTATATAAAATCGTTTTTTTTATAATCAAAAACATTAGTCACGGATCAGATCCGTGACTACATTTTATCCGGAATAAATTCAATTTTTTTAGATTTAATATAGTCACGGATACGTCCGTGACTACCACAAAAATAAAAAAAAATTAAATTGAACTTAGTCACGGCTCGTGTCCGTGACTAATTCAAAAAAAATTTAAATTAAAAGTAGTCACGGATATGGTCCGTGACTAACGTGCCGGAGGCTTATTCCGGTCAAGATGTAGTCACGGACGTCGGTCCGTGACTACATTCTAGTCACGCAGAACTAGTCACTGAACTAGTCACGGACGTCGTCCGTGACTAAAAGTGTTAGTCACGGACTTTTTACACTACGGTCCGTGACTAAGTCCGTGACTACAGGCGAATTTTTTTGTAGTGTTTTAATGTAAAAATTTATGTGTAAAAAATTATCTATAAAAATTCTTTATACCGGCCCAGCCCAACTCATACTTCTGGCTACACCCCTGATGTTATCCACTCAAATGTAAAAGTTGGTGGATGGTGAAGGGTAGTTGGGACATTTAATGTAAAAGGAGTTACCTAAAAACGTAAAAGAGTAAATGAGACATCCCAAAAAGAAAAGTGTTAAGATTTAAATGGGACGGAGAAAATACTAATCAATTAATCCTCAAATTAAAAAGTCCAAACCACGTCCGATTTTATTTTGATTTACTTTATGTGTCACTTTTTAATGGAACGAAAGTAGGTCACTTTAACCTATCAAATTAAAGTGGATTATGTATAGCAATCGTTGACGATAAAGAAAATCAATTTATTTGTAGGTAGGGCATAATTAAGGAGTAATAGTTTAATTAGTGTGTGGAAATTAGTAAACACATGACGGCACCGGCCATTCTTGATATCATCATTAAAAATGGACGTGATATATGCCCAAATTAGGTATCCATTCTTTGCATCTAACCTCCAACAAAATTTAATTTCTTGACGTGTGCAACATCCATCCAATCTGAGCTCACTGCCCATTCCTAGCTTCCGGCCACTAAAAAATTAGACATGCACGGACTACTAAGCAACAAATTAATTAAAAGGTTGCTAATATAATTGCGGTTTATTATTTTGCCTACTCATACTGAACTACGTAGTAGTATTATTTTTTATATTATGGCCTTGCCGAAATAAAATTACATTTTACTGACATTTATTTATTTATTTATTTATTTATTTATTTATTTAATTATTTATTTATTTATTTATTTATTTATTTATTTATTTATTTATTTATTTATTTATTTATTTATTTATTTCATGTTCACATCGAACTCACCGTTTTTTCTCTTTCGATAAATTTGGAACAATACAAAGAGAACTCACATTATAGTGTATCTGTGTATATGGACATTTATATATTTAAAAACTATATGAATTTAATATTTTCAAAATAGATATACGCAGTGCTTCATATTAAAACAAGTTCCAGAAGTTAAATTTCATTTACAAATAGGAAAGATTGAAAATAATAATATCAACTATTGATTATTTTTGTATAATCTCAACTATATGGACCGTCCACCAATAATGGTCATGACCGCATATTACCTACTCTAACAAGTGAATTTTTAATAGAAATTAAGCGTAAAAATTAAAATATGGGATTATTTATAGGGATTACCTGCTATATCTCTTTAGAAACTATAAGAATTTATTTATAGTCGGTCACGTCGGACCATTATTGGTGGAAGGTCCCTAAAGTTAGGATTATTCTGAAATAATCGATAGTTGAGATTATTATAAGTGGACCGCCAATAGTTGAGATTACTATGATCAATTTTTCCTTATAAATAACATTGCGTACAATATAGGAAAAGGGAATGATCAAATTTAATAATGCTTGACTTACAAAGTCAAATTGCAACCTCCATTTTGGAATTGAGGAAACATCTAAGGACGACATAGCCAACACGATGCTTGTTTAAAGGGGGAGAATGTGCTCTCAATAACGATCAGCATAATAATTGTTCTCAAGATGTTAATTAGGACAAAAGTATTCCTGAATACATGCATTGAAGTAGGCTAAAAAACTAATTAAAGATAATAAAACTAACAATCTTTCCGTCTAAGAAAACAGCTATATTCAAAATTAAAGCTTTTTGCATATAAAGAATAGACTCTTTCATCGAATTGAAAAGACTTTTTAAGTAGAGAATAACAAGTTTAGATCGAAAAATTTCTAATACATATAAGTACGTAGTACAGTAGACAGTATATATTTATACGGAGTATATAGTTTGGTTCTAAGTGAAATGTTGCAAACGTACGTGATGAGAAACAAGAATGGTTCAGGATACAACACATTTTCTCGTTAATAAGAGTGCACATTTTGATTTCGTACTAGTATAATACTAGTATAATGGAAAGTTGGTGATGAAAGAACATTACAATTTGGGAAAAATTGATCGTAATAATCTCAACTATTGACGGTTCGCTTATAATAATCTCAACTATCGATTATTTCAGAATAATCTCAACTTTAGGGATCGTCCGCCAATAATGGTCCATGACCACATATTACCTCCTCTAACAAGTGATTTTTTATTAGAAATTAAGCGTAAAAATTAACATTTGAGATTATTTATAGAGATTACTTGTTATATCTCTTTAGAAACTATAAGATTTTATTTATAGTCGGTCACGTCGGACCATTATTGGCGTAAGGTCCATAAAGTTGGGATTATTCTAGAATAATCAATAGTTGGATTATTACAATCAATTTTTCCAACCATTTATTTACAATAATTGAATAATGTAGTGCGTCATCAATGGTTTTGATCCATGGGAGTATACATTCATGTTTCAGATGATGTACAATTCTTAAATTGGACGCGCCGTATTCATTGTCAATTTTCATTAGATCATTGTATAATTTGATTGGAATATATATGATCGGATTTGAGGGACTGAGGGAGAATATGATTTGATGTTCCCAGCGACCGCCCCCTTTGGACTATCAAAATTTTCTATTATAAATATATTATTTTTTTAAAATTTTCATACTTTAATTAAATATGTATGTGTTTACCCCCTTAACTTTTTGTTTTCAAAATTAATATATAATCTTACATAATGTAATACTTAAACATCTAAAATAAACATCTAAAATAATTTACATAACTTAAACAAATAAACAATAGAAAAACTCATTGTTTAATGCTTTGGATATTTTTTATATAAAAAATCTTAGTTTTGTAAAGTTTAGTCATATTTGAAAGATAATTAATACTCGATTTTGTAAAACACCAAGCGATATTAAATACTAGACACAATTACACGGTTCTTAGATCATGTGAAGTGAATTCAAAATATAAATATTTGTTGACATTAAATTACATATTTCATTTACTTCTTACTTTCTAAAAACCATGTATTGCGTCGATCATAAACTTAAATTTATTTTAGCATTAATACAATATAATATGCAGCTTATATATGAATTAAGAATATAATATTATTCTAAAAATAATAATTGCATACATACTATTGACATATTAAGCAAACTTCTCGTGACTCACGAACACCCTCCTTGGTAGACAAAAATTGCAATTCAAAAACCAATTTTTTGTTCCAAAAAATTAATAATTGGTAACATTTGTGCGACTTTATCAACTCTAATTTATTCATATTTTATTGCCACTTTATCAACTCATTATGAACCATATAATTCTACTTTTCTTAAAACTCACATCTCTGTTTTCCGTCTCAATATTAGGGGATGGAGGTAGTAGTACGTAGTTTTAATAAAAAACATTTTCATATCATTTTCATATTATCATGTACGTAGTATAAATATATAAATAAAAATGGAGATAGGGAGTATATATACGATAGTACTATATACTTCCTCCGTTCCATAAAAGTTGCAACATTGGAATTTCTGCACTATTCACACACCTTACTTTGACTACGATTTTCTAATAATATATATAATAAAAATATTATGTATAAAATATTAATAAATTTGTATTAATGTAAATTTCCAATATATTAACTTTTTTTAATGTTTACTAATACGTAAATAAATATAATTACAGTCAAAGTTGCGCGTTGACAAACGTGAAAGTCAAACTGTTGCAACTTTTATGGAACGGAGGATAGTATAATCAAAATGCATATACGAAGTACTAACTACTACGTACTAAGTTAGAACTTAGAAGGCCGGTTTGAATTTAAAAAGAAGAAGGCGTAGCTAGCTAGGTTTCCTAAGCTATATAGTGCGCGCCGGAGCTAGCTGGCCATGGCCGTTAGATCATCAACCATTTTGTTTTGGCTTTTTGCGTTAAGCGTTGCATTTTGTGCCGTCACACTTTCTGTCTACTTCGACGGCCTGTTTTACACCGCCGCCACCAGTAGCAGTGCTCCTCTCGCCGCAACAAAGAATCCCTTTTCTGTTGGTTTCAGTTTTCTCCTCAAAAAGATTGGCTTTGGAGATTTGCTCTATGCGGTGGACGTGGACCAAACTACAAGCTCTAAACACCACCACAGGCGGCGGCGGAAGGCCAAGTGCGACGACTTAACATGGGACTCTGCTGGCCTCGTTTCCATGTATGGCGTTTCGCGGGTTATCACTGTGGATTCAAAGGGTTGTGGAAATTTCAGCACTATAAAGATGGCCATTCATGCAGTTCCTGATCTCAGTCCTGCCATAACACTCATCATAATCAATTCCGGCACCTACAGGCCTGTCATCCTTCTGAAACACCTAGCTATATATTACTGTTTGTCTCAAATTGTTGTGGAAAGCCAACATCATCCATGCATCAATAATAAAGTTAAATCCTCCGATCCTCGTTATCATTTTTTACATACTCGTTTTCTCTCTCTCGAAAAAACACCATCGATCTTCAAGTTGAATAACAAACTTTGGTTGGTTAGCCCATTGAATTTTTTAATAAGTGGCCTGTAGCCCTAGAATTATACATGACATAATTCCATCTTTAAGAATTATGTAGAAGTGCGTTGACTGTAAATATTTTTAAGGAGAACACTGGAGAGTCATTAGATTACATTTGTCTTGACTTATCCTAACTATTAATTGATTAGGAGGTGCCTTTGTATAAATATGAGTGTTTCTAGCTCATTTTAATTTGTATAAGCAAAACTTGAGAAATCTCTTGTATGTAGCATAGTTGTCTTTATAAAATTTTCTTTTCCAAAACACTTAGTTACTACTCCGATCGATCCTCCCAACAATTTCCCTCCGTCTTATAAAATACTTTTCTGCCAACACTTCATTACCACACCTTTTATAGAATACATATAAAAAATACTTCATGAAGTAGGCTATAACCGACGACGTGGTAGATAATATTTCATAATTAGTAAAAATCATTTTACTAAGCTATGATGGACATAGCTTGCTTGTATGTGAAGTAGGCTAGAATAATATTCGATCAACGTACACTATATATATAGGAGGATTTTATTTTCAAATTCTTTAGAGAGAACCAAGTGGAGGACGGGTATTCACGTGAAGGAGTGATCTTGATAATCTTTTTCCCTCATCTTTTTTTTCCTAGTTTTTTTATCCTTATATATATAAGCATTATTTGCAGCCTTTTTATTTTATCATTTTTATATATATTCATCTTTTTTTATATTATCTTTTCATAATAGCTTATCTTTTTATCTTTATTCCTTCTTTTCCTTTTGGTTGTGATATCATGTATCGATTCATGTTAGCCGACCCCAATATCTTTTGGGACTAAGGCTTGGATGTTGTTGTTGTTGTTGTATGGATCTGCCGGTCAGTCACATCTAAGCTAGCCTTCAATTAAGTTTATACATATATATCTTCTCATATGGCTTTCTGCTAGAGGATGGACTTCTCCCGTCCTTGGGCTTCATGAATTTCCTGAACTTCGTGGCAAAAGCAGCCATATATTCGTAAGTTAAAAGGTAAGGGGAAACAAATTGTGGTGACGACTCGTGTCTGAAGAGGCCCAAGGTCGAGGGCCATACTGGGGACGAACGGCTTCCCAAGAAGCCCGGCCACGCGGAGAGTATAGATACACTAATATACTCCCTTCGTCCCGGAATTATCTTCATTCTTTCCTTTTCGGTCCGTCCCAAATTTATCTCCTTTTTCCTTTTTTTGGCAAAGAATTTGTGGTTCACAACCAATCTTACAAATTTCTCTTTCCTCTGCACAACTCTCCACCACACATTTCCCACTATCTTAAAACCCGTGCTCAGTCAAATAAGAAGATAATTCCGGGACGGAGTTAGTACACATTAATACCAAGATTGGCCGGGTGGTAGGTAGCATTTGAATGCTGATAATTTAATGGATGGCGCAGGGAAAAAGTGATGGTCGGGAGAAAAAAGCAAAATGTGATAATACAAGGAAAAGGTTACCACAACACTGCCATATCATGGAACGACACTGCAAATTCAACCGGAGGCACCACTAATAGCTACACATTTGCTGTATTAGCTCCCAATTTCATAGCCTACAATATCACCTTTCAGGTTCCTTGCTCGCCGGCCTATACATATACTACAACTGTTCCAAAATTGTTTGTCATATTTACTTTTCTCAACCAATGATTATATGACAAAGTTTGCACAAAGTTTTTAATAAAGGGTACTTTATTGTAATTTTCATATTCAAAAATAATTATTTATTAAAAAATACGTAGTATATCATTGGTCAAACTTAAGTATCATTGATCAAGACAATTACCGGGAGAAAGTGCATCTTTAATTTTTATATACTCCATGTGTTCTTTAAATTACTCTCTCTTTCCCATAGAATTATTCCCAGTTTGACTTAGATAAAAGTTTAATAAATGAGAATAAAGTGAAAATGTATCACTGAGATTGAATAAGAAAAAATGGGATATATATCCGTACATGGTAACTGTTGCATATATATCACAATCGAATAGTTAATTTGGAGAATTGATGGATTGTTGGAAATGAAAGAACACAGCTCGAGCGCCACCATCGAGCGAATCTGGAGGCCAGGCCGTGGCCCTAAGCATTCTGGGAGATGAATCTGCATTTTATGGATGTGGGTTTTATGGAGCCCAGGACACCCTTAATGATGAAAAAGGAAGACATTATTTCAAAGATTGCTTCATTCAGGGTTCTATCGACTTCATCTTTGGGAACGCCCGATCATTCTACCAGGTATTAATTTTGGTAGAATTGCATATGTTGAGAGTGAACATGAATGTTGAGTGTTTTCTCATGTACATGCAGGATTGCACAATACATAGCATAGCAGAAGAAGCGGGCGGAGAGGTAAGTGGATCAATCACTGCACACAGGAGGGGCTCGGAGGGAGAGGAAACCGGGTTCTCATTCGTGAATTGTAACATTGGTGGGAGCGGAAGAGTGTGGCTGGGGCGAGCATGGGGGCCTTATGCAAAAGTCGTCTTCTCTTTCACATACATGTCCAATGTAGTTTCCCCCGATGGCTGGAACGACTGGAACAACTCAACTAGAGACAAGTTAGTTTGAAGTCGCGCCCCCATTTCAAAATATTTCTAGCTGAGCTACTAATCATTTGATTACATACTCATTCCTCCAGCGCCACAAAGACTTCCACCTATGGTCATATGATTACATATTGCTTTGTATTATTTTCGAGTATACCAAGTAGTATATATTAGTACTAAGAATTTAATATCAAAGTAGTTAATGAGCATATCTAATGTGTGTATTATCATCAATATATAACTAACGTTTGGCTATGAATGCATGGATTTGTGCCTAGGACGATTTACTTCGGGGAATATGATTGCACTGGACCGGGAGCTAGCTTCACATATAGGGCATCATATGCAACTCAACTGGATAAATCTGAGGCTGCTCCGTACTTGACTACCTCGTATATTGATGGTGATGACTGGCTATTTACCTCACCCGATCCTCCATCACATCTCAACCAAATCCATGCACACGAAAATAGTGACCTTGTAATCGATGTTTAGTGAAAATGATCTATATTTGTTGAATGTACTTAATTGAGGGGAAATATACTTCAACCCTTTAAGTTTAATTAATGTTGTCATTGTCGTCATTAGAGTATGTACGTGTTTAATGTAGGTTCAAGTTGATATTCTTGAGAAATACACTTACCATTTTTTATTAATTTTTTGAACAAATACGAACCATATATACTAGTACAGTACTCCATCAATGTCGGATGATCCAAATTGTTTATTCAAATAGAGTTGGAAAGATAACCAGCTTCATCATCTACAACTTTTATGAGGACGTCATGGTGTGATGCACACTAATTAGTAGTGCATAATTACATGTTTTTATGTTTGATTTATGTTAATTGTTTGACGTTTTATTTAGTTTGTAAACATTTATGTGATTTCAGTTGTAATTGTATTTTAGTCTTTTTTTGTAAGTTGTAAAGTTTAGTTAGGATTTGTGGTGTTCGAAAGGAAGACTTTGAAGTGAAGAAAAAGAAGATTTGGCTGCCCAGGAGCAAATACCCGACCGGGTATAAACCCTGACCCGGTCGGGTAAGAAGTGAAAAACGAAAATGCAAAGAAAGTGCATGGCCCGGTCGGGCCCACTACCTCACCCGGTTGGGTGAGAAGTGACCGAGGACAACCCGGTGTGCAAAGATCACCCGAACGTGTAGAAAATCCAATTTTTGCACTCACCCGGTCGGGTCCCTTACTTGACCCGGTCGGGTCTGACTTGACCCGGACACTTTAACATGCCAAAGATCACCAGAACGTGGGGAAATATCTGATTTTGACCAGACCCGGTCGGGTGAGTACTTGACCCGGTCGGGTACCCGGCCAAAGGTGTTGAAAAACACCTATAAATAGCACACTTTTTCTTCACAAAAAAATAATCCCTTCTTCCATACTCCTAAGCTCAGTTTAGAATAGCATTTCTTTATATTTTTGATGGGCACTAGTTGTTAGTGCCTAAGTATACATTTTTATTATTGTTTGTAATGTTTATTTACTAGTTTTGTGTAAGTTTATAGTTCCTAGTTTGCATTTGATTGTAATCGTATTTTTAGCATTTTATTGTTTGTTGTAAGTTGTAGTTAGTTGAGCTATAAGTTTAGGATAGGTTTGGAAGCAAAAAGGATGAAGAAACCTGAGTTTTGTGCAAAACCCGGTCGGGTATGGACTTTACCCGGCCGGGTATGAAGTGACAAAGGAAATTGCTACAAAATTAGCAAATACCCGGTCGGGTATTCCATATACCCGGTCGGGTATTCTGTGATTTCGGACCAAAGAACGTGCAGAAGATACAAAAACATGGGAAAATATTTGATTTGGTAAATACCCGGTCGGGTATGTCAAAATACCCGGCCGGGTATCCGGCATTAGGTGTTGAAAACACCTATAAATAGCCCCATTTTCCTTCACATTTCATGATCCCTTCTTCCAATCTCTTTAGCTCAGTTTAGAATAGCATTTCTTTATATTTTTCTAGCTATGTTTAGCCTCCAAATGAGGAGCTAAACTTCCATTCTTGGTGTTGCTCTTGAAGCTTGTTGATTATTAAAGTTGTGAGTTATTTTCTTAACTTCTTTCCTTGAATATTAATTAATAGTTCTTTCCTTAATATCATCTCTATATTAATGTTGGAGAGTGTTGCTAAGATGACAATTAGTTAACATCTCGACATTAGTTAGAATGGTATTTTCTTCCTCTATATTAATATTGGGGAGTGTTGCTAAGATGACAATTAGTTAACATCTTGATATTAATTATAGTAGGATTCATCTTCTTTAATAATATTCTTCCTTGAATATTAATTAATCCCTACTCATATTTCATATTAATATTTTGAACATTACTTAAAGGATCAACTAGTTTTGTTTCATATATTAATTATTACTAGAAACGATCAACGAACCGATGGTTAATCGTTGATGGTTTCACAAGTAAGTAACTTCGGTTTATTAATGCACGGTCATGGTTAATAAACTTAAGAGGGATTAATTTTGTTGGTTAAATCGAAACCGTTGTGTTGAGGTTATCAATCTCAATTGATTTCATCAAGGAGTTAGAAAGATTAAATGCTACTATTAAATCGATATAAGACGTTGTTCTATATTTGATTAATAGTAAGGGTTATTAATGAACGGTTGTTGTTAATAACTACCCTCGATGAAGTGGATATACTCCCCGATTGAGTATTCGAGAGGGAATAAGTTATAGATATAACAATGATCGACTAAATATATCAACAAGTGGAAAGTAGCAAATGCCAAGTCCTTTTTATCTTTGACTTAAATCTCATATAGGTCGTTCATCTTAGTTTTTAATTAAATTAAATCACTCAATCCAAATCTCCCCTTTATTTACAAAGTTTCATAAAAAGAGAATTATTCCTTTCCCTGTGGATACGAACTCTACTACGCTATACTACGTATAAGTGTTTAGTATTGAATTTATTTTGACGCACCGTGACAAAGTGCACGTCAAATTTGGCGCCGTTGCCGGGGAAAGGCAATTACTTTTCTTTTTATTTTATCTCATAAAAATCAAAAACAAAAAAAATATAAAAAAAAAATCTTGCTCTTCTATTTTCTGAGCTTACATGAGTTATGAGTATATGGATACCAACACTTCATCCTTAGAGAGTCAAATTTCCTTCTTGACTTCTCTAATAAAGGAATTTATCTTTAACTCAAAAGCTCAAGATGCCAAGACATGCGACATTTGCATGTCTCACAGGCATCTTACGGACTTCTGCCCAAAGCTCCAAGAAGAATACCTTGCACAAATTGATGATGTACCTCACATGAGGTATGATCCATTCTCCAACTCTAATATGTCCACGGAGGACATGGTTCGGGCTCTTACTAACAGTGTGACCGCCATGCAACAAAACATTGTGCAATTCCAAAATGAGACCAAGTCTAGCATTTTGAACTTGGAAACTCAAATGAGTCAAATAGCCGGAGTCGTGAGTAGGCTTGAAACAAGGGATTCAGAAAAACCTCCTTCTCAACTAGAATGTGATCCTAAACAGCAAACTTTTGCAATCACATTGACAAATGAAAAGGAAATGCAAAAGGAGATCCAGAATCCAGAAGAAGTAGAGGAAGAAAAAGACACGGAGCTCCAACTGGTCAAAGAAGAGGATAATCTGAGCTTCAAGGTTAAATATCTATCTTTGTCATCTTTTGAGGTACCCCCATCAATTCTAAAAATTTTGAGGGAAACTCATAAACTTGGAAAGGACAATGACATTTCTGAAATCCTCTTCAAAATTGAGGGATCGAAAAACTTTTCATTGACCATAGTAAACGACAATTTCTTCCCTTTCCTCCCACCGCATGAATCAATGACAATCTGGATATTTGATCCTGGAAAGATTCCCAAATTGAAGAGTCGAGAAGTTGAGCACTCCTATGAACGTCCTAGGAGTGAAAGTGTGAAAAAGATAAACTATCATGATCCAAGTTTGAATGACTGAACACAATGATGGCGTCGTGCCGCGACGTTAAATAAGGCGCTTCTTGGGAGGCAACCCAAGCAAGGTACGTTTACTTGTTTTATTTTTATCTTTAAACCTTTCAAAAAACAAAAAAAAAATCCGGGAGGAAAAACCTGCCCGGGTATATCCCACACCCGGTCGGGTAACAGCACAAAAGGATTATACCCGGGCAACACAGCCACCGGGTAAAAAAAAAAAACTGAAAAAATCAAAAAATAGCCTAATACCCGACCGGGGTATTACAAAAACCCGGCCGGGTTTTTGGCCAAAACAGCCTAAAAACGTTCTGCCAAGCGAAAAAACAACATACCCATTCGGGTATTACTAAAACCCGGCCGGGTAATCGAGATTTCAGTCCGTTTTGGTCCTAAATCAGCCCACAAAACACCCATTTGCTTCCCTAATGTCCCAAACTCAAGCCCTCAACCTCCATTGACAATCATCCAAGCTTCAAACCACTCCAATCTCAACCAAAACATCCAAATTAACTCCACATTCTTCTTATCCACACCATCCTCTCCGATCCCAAAACCTCAAAAAAAAATGCCATTTCTTTTTCCCCTCACCCTACATTCCAAACCCACACACACAAAACCCATTAAATCCCCCAAATACCCTACAAACCGAATTCCCTAACCCCCCAAGCTCAAGTTTGGAATTCACAAAAAAATAAAAACGAGAAAAAAAAAGCACCAAAAAGAACACATGACTTCGACCACCAAGGGTACTTCTCCAACATGCCCAACCTAGTACAACACCCGACGTGGTATTATCCCTCATGTTAGGGCAATTTAGAGGTTCTAGCTCCGGTGAACATGGTCTTGGTGGCGATGGCGGTTATGGAGGGTACATCGACAATCATGGTTCCAAACACTAGGGACAGTGTTTCGAAAAAAAGTGTAGGGGAGGCACTCATTTGGTATGTACTCATTTTTTTTAACCTTGTAACTTGCATTATTTTTCATCAACAAAAAAAAAGTGCAAAAAAAAAACAATAAAAGAAAAAAAAGAATGCTAGTTAGGTTGAAAACCCAGAAAAAAATGGGCAATCTAAGCTAAAGTGGCTAAAATGAGTGAGTTGTGATAAATGAAAAAAATAAAAAAGAGAGGCTAGGATGAAAACCTGAAAAGGCTCCTAGACAAAATGAGAGAATGAGAGAAAAATATCTATTTATGCAGAAGATAATCAAAAAAAAGAAGAAGAAAATGTTGGATGGTTGTTCTGCTACTTTTGTGGTTTTGAAAACTTCATGGGCAGGTTTTAATTTACTCGAGACGAGTAAAGGTTCAAGTGTGGGGGTGTTTGATGGGCACTAGTTGTTAGTGCCTAAGTATACATTTTTATTATTGTTTGTAATGTTTATTTACTAGTTTTGTGTAAGTTTATAGTTGCTAGTTTGCATTTGATTGTAATCGTATTTTTAGCATTTTATTGTTTGTTGTAAGTTGTAGTTAGTTGAGCTATAAGTTTAGGATAGGTTTGGAAGCAAAAAGGATGAAGAAACCTGAGTTTTGTGCAAAATCCGGTCGGGTATGGACTTTACCCGGCCGGGTATGAAGTGACAAAGGAAATTGCTACAAAATTAGCAAATACCCGGTCGGGTATTCCATATACCCGGTCGGGTATTCTGTGATTTCGGA